ACATCTCTTCCTTTTCTGATTAATTCACCTATTCATCCATTTAATTTCACTTCTTTCATTATTATTACCATTCTTGTTCTGTTTCTTCATAGCTTATTTCTCTTTATTTATATTTATTTATTAATATTATTATATTTNTGCTCCTTTCCCTCTGAATTCCTGCCCTTATGTCTCATAAAACATATCAAATCCTGCATTCACTTTTTTAATTGTAATTTTCAAGCAAGTTTAAGCATATTATGCTTAAACTTGCTTGAAAATTACAATTAAAAAAGTGAATGCAGGATTTGATATGTTTTATGAGACATAAGGGCAGGAATTCAGAGGGAAAGGAGCAATTTTGAGCTCTGCTTTAAGGTCATTAACGTCAAACGCGTCATATTACACCACAAAGGGGAAACATCTCCGCTCTCGGTATAGTTAGTAGTTGCGTTGAGCGGTTGTGTTTTAGTGAGCTGGTATTTTTCGGTAGTTTTACATTGTATTTCACCATTTGTAATCATGGTGCAGTATTGTGTTTGTGCAGGTTGCACAAATACCAGCCTGTCAGGACAAACGTTTATCAGGAAACCGTATTACATCTCTCTCTCCCCCCCCCCTTCCCTGCTCTCTCTCTCCCCTCCGGTACAGCACCGTAACATAGTGTGGAGTTGCATTAGGTAACGAGAGATACGGCTGATAGTTGCGCATTCGTTTCTGTTATGGATCAGTATCAACAGTCCTGCCAGTAACGTTACTATATTATCAATGCTACGTTAGTTATAGCCTGATATATGATAGCTAACTTCACAATGTTGTGATGTGACGTTAGCTAACATTCTGTAGCTAACGCCGGTCACTCACCAAGATAGCTGCCCAGTTCTCCACTGGTTCTCCTCACACCACAGCTTAATTTCTCTCCGATGGCCGTTATTTCTTCTAATCCTTGGCCGCTCCTGGTCTCTTGGACGCCTAGCAGGCTCATAATTATAAGGTTGTGGTCCGTCATATGCATTCGAATATTCATGTTCAACTTCTTCTGTGTCGAAACTAGCATTGGGATCCATGTTTATTAATACGTTACACTACCCCCTTGNTCTTCTGTGTCGAAACTAGCATTGGGATCCATGTTTATTAATACGTTACACCGGCCGCTCTCCCCCTTGTTTCCCCCATGTTACGTCACACAAGGGAGGTCACGTGGGAAGGCTTTTTTGATGTGGAAGTAAACATTTCTTACAAAAACGACGCCTGATGTCACTGTAGTGTATATTTCTTGATATTTTTGGGAAAATCTAGTGTATACATCATTTTCCTACACATTTATTCACAGGTGTCTTTAACCTGGAAGTTGCTCTTTAAAATCCCTCGGATGCATCTTGTAGAAACAATTGGAAAATGCACTGACATTTAAACTGAGTGTGGCCCATAAAAACTAGGATGGAGCATCTTCACTACTGCACCTGACTGGAGAGGAATTATAAG